CCTAAATACTAACAATCTCTCACATACAACAGAACTTTGATGGAATGTGTCTCAACAACAGCACCGTTAAACACGAATGTGATTCAGAATAAATGGGAGCTGGAGTAAGCCATCAGCTACAACATTCCTCTACAAACTGTCTCCTTCATAAGTTTCACAGTGGGTTGCTGAACAACGCTTGGGTATAACATTTGAAATTCATTTGTAATGTATTGTCTGGAAAATAGTAATCTCTGTGCCTCCTCACGAGAAGATTAATTTGGGACATCTGTGAGTTGAGTAACCTAGTTCATACAGTTATTCAGTAAATGTATGCCCATGCCCCCAAGGATCCTTTCACACCCCCTGTTAGCCACTGTGGGAAGATAGTCTCTGGTATAAGGGTTATTTGGAATATCTAATAAAGACATGCTTATGACATAGCAATACAAGTTTATTTTTAATTTGGAAACAAGGAAATCACCTTATAAGTTAATCCTAGAATGTTAAAACAACTGCAGCCAATCCTTTCCTTTGAAGAGAAAGAATGTTGCTTACATCGGATGCTTTACTGCTAGAGCTGGAGCCAAAGCTTTTTGGTTTCTAACTTCCCGTTCCACAGCGGATACTCCCTTTTCTACATAACTGTGTCTCCCATAAGTTCACTGATGGTGAATGGTAAGCATTTAAAGACTCTACTACTACTTCATTAAAACATTTTCATAAAATTTATAATTTTAGTATCTAAGCAAAGATGAGGGGAAAGACCCGCCCTAGCTGAAGAGCTATTGCCAGTTGGTGGCTGTTGGATAAGGGAGATTGCCCTATGTCTTCAGGAGTTCAGACTTCAATTGGTTGCTCATTTCCCAGTGGATGGCCTGTGCACACACAGCAGCTTTTAGTAGATCAGTGACTTTTAAAAAGAGTACATGAAGTTGAGACGGAAGGGTTTGGAGGTGTGGGAAAATTAGAGGGAGAGAGGGTGTGGGTCAAAACATACGCATGTATGAAGTTCTCAATTTTTAATTTAAAATTATTAATGCAGTGATTATGTTTTCTACTTTTGGCATTTTGCTTATCTGTTCTTTGCTTTATGTAAACAAACTGGAACTTTTAAAAATAAATTGCTTTTAAAGTATTTGCTATTTCAATGAAATGCAAAATCTTGTGTTTCTTGATTAACTTTGAACTAATATATTCTACAGATTAGAAGTGATAGTAATTAATATGCTCAGGAAAATAGGCTTATGGCTTTGAATTTATTTTAAAGTCTGACAAGAGAAGCATTTAACAATCACAATGGGGGGAGGCACGCCAAAGTTTATTTCTCAGCCATAGCAGGCTGGAAATCATTTAGTGAAACTGAAAACGTTTTTTAAAGGGATCTTTATTTGTATTTTAAGGGTATGGGTGTTTTACTTGCATGTGTGTATACACTCCATAATCATGCAGTTCCTGCAGAGGCCAGAGGAGGGCACTGGATCCCCTGGAATTAGAGTTCCAGACAGTTGTGAGCTGTGTGTGGGTGCTGGAAACCAAGCCCTGGTTGTCTGGAAGAGCAGCCAGTGCTCTTAACCTCTGAACCGTTTCTCTGGTGCCCTGCAAACCTTTATTTTGAAACTTTATTATTTTTAATATGTTTAGGTGGGTCTGTGTGCAAGCGGGTACCTGCAGAGGACAGAAATGTCAGATACCCTGGAGCTGGAGTTGTACGTGATTGTTGCCAATGTGGGTGCTGGGAATAGAACTTCAGTACCCATTTTTAACTGCTGAGCCATCTCTCCAGCCCCCAAATTAAATATTTTAAGTTAAGATTAAATGAAAGGAAACTCATTTTTAAAAATTCATATCTGAATTGAGAAGGTAAGAGTTCTATATGTTTTTCTCTGTTGGATCACTAGTTTCTTCTTACCTAGTAACAGTTAGTTGCAAAGGCTTAAGGCTTAGCCAGAACGTGAATTTTAATGAGATCAGTTATGACTTTTCTTATCGGTGTAGTTTAGCTATACAAGTGTTAGGAAGACTTCACAATGTGCTGGTTCTGGAAATGACGTTTCCTAGCATGCTCCATTCCTTTAAGTCCTCTTTGCGTACACAGCAGATTGGAAAGCTTTTTGCAGAGTGTTGCTCCCCAAAACAAACGGTAGCAAAGATCTAAATGTTCTTTAGGAAGGTCTTGTTTTCCTTCTAAATGAGCGTTCATTGTGCCTTACTCTGGCTATCATGAGAGCTGTGGAGACGAGTGTTCTATGAAGGACTGTGAATACTGGAGGTTCGGAACACCGGACCTTTTAGAGTGTGTTGACCGGAATTATTCATGGGAAGGACTAGCCCCTTTTCCGTGATGCCCCTCCGTTGCAGGGACCCTACTCGGACACCCCTTGGGGGAGGGGGTGAGAAGACCCAGCACCAAAGACTCAGGCACGGGAGTCAGTGAGGAGCAGTTGCAGATTGGGCGGCAGACTCCTTTATTAAGGAAGTCAGGCAGCCTTTGCACCCTCTCCCAAGGTCCTATTGGCTCAGACGCTGGCTCTGCTCTATGTCCATTCGTCATTGGTGTCTCTGGGTCAGGTGTCTCTCTGGCAGCCTCTCTGGGCGCTGAGGCAGGCTTGGCGGGTTGGCTCAGGGAGGAAGCTCCTGAGCTTGAAGGCTGCCTGGGCACCCATACATGGCGCCCGGTGCTTGGGTAGACTGGCCACAGTTTCTTCTATAACCCTCCCCTCCTCTGGGAACAAAAAGTGCTAAATTACCCTTCTGAGGTCCCTGGAGTTCTTGTTGCCCTTCTGACTTAGCCTGTGATGACCTGTTTTCTGGAACAAGTCTATTCAGCCTTCCTTGGGAATGTTACAAGGCTGCCCTACCACAAGTAGAAGAGAGGAACGCAGATTCCTAGTGCATCCTTCAGAATAACAAGAATTGATTTAATTTGTGAAGTCTTTGATATGTTTCACTCAAGACAGAAGACAGACCAACTTGAAAGTAGGAAATAAGAGAAAACTAAATGTTTGAGTAACACATCGCCTTGAGAACAATAACCAGGGAGAAAGAAAGGGAACAAATATTTGTGTTAAGACAGAGCTCCCTGGCGTAGTTTCCTGGGTCTCAGGCAGCTGTGAGGGAGAGGCTTCATTCCCAACTTGAATTGTAGAGGGTCTGAAAAGTGTAATATTTGCTAAGTTGCCCTTGGGCCTCCCTCTGTCCTGGGCTTTCTGAATGCCCTATGAATTATTTTGCCTCAGGATTCAGTCCATCAGACTATGTGGTCTTGTTACTTGTTCACTCATCCCATCTGTGGTCCTAGAAGAGGCTGCCTTCTGGAAACGAGGATTGGAATCTGTCCTAGGAACACACTCAGCGAAGATTTGCACTCTCAAGTTAAGACACTTCAACTGTTGAGCTCAATTTTCTTCTTTTTAAAAATGTTTTTATTATTTTTTCCATTTATTTTACATACTGACCACGGTTTCACCCTCCCTCCTCTCCCCCCCCCCTTATTTTATCCCCCCATCCATTCCTCAGGCTAGGTTCAGAAAAGGTAAGGCCTCCCTTGGGAACCAACAAGCATGGCATTTCAAGTCTCAGGCAGGACCAAGCTCCTCCCCCCTGCGTCAAATCCCCAGCTCACTTTTTAAATAGGCGGTGTCTCCAAAAATGTCTTCACACCAACAGAAAGGAAGAAAGGAAGGAAGGGAAAATCCCAGGCAGAAATATAAACTAAAATGAAGTATCTGCGCCCTAAAACTTAGACGGTATTGCATCATACATCTTTGTGATTTTTTTAAAGTTTTCCAAATCCTGCAGCCTTTATTAAGAAAAATAGAAACTGAAGGCCTGCTCTCCCATGACTTGGAAATACATATCAGCATAATAAGTCAGGAGCCGACCGGAAGATATTCAGTCAGTACCACCTAAGAATTTGACATGTGCTGGAGTGGGTTTAATATTTCCATGATTCTGCATTTCGTATCTATCAGAAACATGAGTTCACTCATCTGGGACTTGGCAAGCCACGAAAAAGAGATTTATGTATTTTTTAAAAAATATATTCTTCCGAACGTAGCTTGAAACAAGTTTGATTTTTATGATAAAAAAATAGGTAAAATGTAGTTTTGACTTACAAAGAAAAGTTAGGAGAAGAGAGGAGAATAGAGATGAAGTAAGCAGCAGAACTCTGGAAGCTGGACCAGTCGTTCTACGGTGTCTGCATGGCGCGGTCGCCTTGCACAGCGTTCCAGAACAAGCTCACCAGCACTTGCCTGTGCGGGCTGGGAGTGGCAAGATCCCTAAAGAGGCCAAGGGCTCTGCTCTCTACAGCTCCAAAGCCAGGGAAAGTGGCGTCGCCTTCCGGGCTGCAAGCCTCTGCCACCTGTTGGCGTCCGACCCCTAGGGGTCGTTGCCTCTGCCCGAGACCTCATTTCCCCACCTCGGTCCGCGAAGGTCCCAGTCTCCGTTCCCGCCGGCCTGCGTTGTCCCGCGGGCTGCACCCGGACTGGCCGGGCGGCGGCGTGGCATCGGCTGGGACCTCCCGCTCGCGCCGCTCGCCCGCGTGCACCCGGCGCCCCGGACCCCGCCGTCCGCGCCGGCGCCCTGCGGCCCTCGCCGCCACCGGAGCGCGCTCTCCCGGTGCGCCCGCCGCCTGGCAGCTCCCGGTGGCTGCACAACCGGGGTTCGGAGTTTAAGATTCCAGCCTTGCTCGCTCGCGCCGCCCTCCCCCGCTTCGAACCTCTCTTTTCCACCCCCCCCACCTCTTCTTCCTCTTCTTTCCTCTTTTAACTTGGCCCCCAGCTGCGCCGCGGCTCTCTCCGCCATCCCTCCAGGTCGCCTCCGGCGAGGACCCCGCGCGAGCCGCCGCCGCCGGCGACACGGGCGGTGTGCACGCCCACGGGGCGCGGGGCGGGGCGGGGCGGCGGCGCCCAGGGCGGGGAGGAGCAGCTTCCCGCACGGCGGAGCCCGGGCTCGGCAGCCCAGCCGCTCCCAGCGTCGGGGCGGCGGGCGGGCGGCCGAGGCGATGGCAGGCGGGCGGCGCGCGCGGGGGCGGGGGCCGGCTCGGGGAGCCCCGGGGTGCCCGGCGATCTGACGCGACCGTGGCACCGGGGAGCCGGGCCGCGGGCTGCGCCTCCGCCGGGGGCGTCGCCGGCCTCGGCCCCTTTGTTCTCGCGCGCGCCCCCTCGCCGCCCACTCCCCTGCTGTCGCGCGGCGGCGGCGGCGGCGGCGGCGGCGGCTCCTCCCGCCCGAGGCGGTCGAGCTCCGCGCCGGGGGCGGGAGGGGGCGGGGAGCGCGCCTGCCGCGGAGAGTGGGGGGCGATGGCGAAGCTCAGGGTGGCTTACGAGTACACGGAAGCCGAAGACAAGAGCATCCGGCTCGGCTTGTTCCTCATCATCTCTGGCGTCGTGTCGCTCTTCATCTTCGGCTTCTGCTGGCTCAGTCCCGCCTTGCAGGATCTGCAAGCCACGGCGGCCAACTGCACGGTGCTGTCGGTGCAGCAGATCGGCGAGGTGTTCGAGTGCACCTTCACCTGTGGCACCGACTGCAGGGGCACCGCGCAGTACCCCTGCGTCCAGGTGTACGTGAACAACTCCGAGTCCAACTCCAGGGCGCTGCTACACAGCGACCAGCACCAGCTCCTCACCAACCCCAAGGTAAGGACTCCCGCCTAACGGCGCTGGTTCGAGGCCAGCTCCCCGGTTAGACACCCAGGGGAAGATCCCGAGTGCACTAACCTTGCTAGAGGGAGACAGGAGGCGCCGGGTGCATGCAAACGTCTGTGGAGCTGCAGGGTGTGTTTGCCCGCGGGGCGGTGGTACCCAGAGTCTCTCTGCAAACACGGATCTTAGCTGTTCTTAGCTTTGTGAGCCCCCTCCAATCCCAGGTGCAGCACCCACAGGACGGGTCTGCCTAAACTCGAGGGGCAAACAAAGTTAACTTTTCTTTTGAACATATATATCCATGGGTTAGCAGGGACCCAGCTACTCCAGCGTAAGGCCAGCCAGCGCCTGAGCTTCAACTGGCCTCAAGAACTCCCGATGACAGGACATTTGAGAGGTTGAAGGGATCTCTCAGCGCCGGAAAAAAAAATCCTCAGGCTTTTGCCTTTTAGTTCTAAACAGAGGTTTCTAACTTGACTTCTACAGATGGGCTTTCTGGCGTGTGTGTGTGTGTGTGTGTGTGTGTGTGTGTGTGTGTGTGTGTGTATCAACAGCAATCAGGAATCCAGCAACAAATTCTTATTACATTGAGTTTACATTGAGTTTGTTTGCTGGGGGGCTTCGAGGGGTCCTCGCGACTCTGGGTGTTTGGGGGCAATCGGAAGCAGTTGGAGAACGGTAAAACTTTCCGAAAATAGGAAGCCCTCGGTGAACTGTACCAAACAGCCCTCTCCTGACAACTTCTTTTGTTGTCCCAAGCGGGGTGGGGGGCGCGGGGGGGGGTGAAAAAAAGGAGGAAAAAAATAGATAAAACCTGGTTAGGACTTGCAAGCTTCTGGAGAGCCGAGAGGGAGACTCAAAAAAAGTTCCCAGGGGAAAATAAAGCTCTTATGAAAAAGCAGTGTCCTCCCTCCGTGAACTAATTGAGCTGTGTAGCACACCTGCTTCTGCAGGAACGTACTTTGATGCCTTTGGGCTTCTCTGCCGCCAACTAAAGGTGCGTTTATTTAAGTTGCTGACTCTTTTTACTTTGTGAGGGCTACACTCGAAGGCGAGCAGGAAATCATGCCAGAAAATAAAATAAGTAAAATAAATCTAAAAAATGGATCCTGTGCACCCAGGAACACGTTCTGTTACATGTTGACAAGATCAATTAATCTGAGACGGAATTAATATTTTAAACTAGCTCACCATCGCTGTGTGGAGAAACTCAAGAGTAGTAACTCATTAATTTGGAAAGTTGGAAGTAATTACTCTTTAAAAATATGAGTGACTCCTCGTTGGAAGAGTCTCCTGGTAATGCGTGAAGATTCGTTTGCTTTAAAACTGAGATAATATGGGAACAATAAGTGTAGAAGTAAACTTTTCTAATCAAAATCTAATGTCCAAGCCCCTAAACAAGTGGTCGGGTCTCAGAGATAGATACGAGTTAATCTGTCTAGTGCTTAGTAATCTAAAAAGAACTCTTGTGGTTTTAGAAAAACATTTAAAAAAAATCAGAATTAAATAAAAATATCTAAGAAAGTTGTCAAGTAATAATTTAGTGATTTAGAAGATACTCTGTAGTTCGCCATTTTGGAGAGGGAATAATTGTTGAAATACCACTAATTATTATTGAGATAAATTATTACTGATAGCTTTAACTAATAAGTTATACATAGGCATATAACTACGTACTAAATTAATATCTAATTTTGGCATAGACAAATTAGAATTTACCACAGAAGACAACTTCACAATCTCCAGGCAGGACCTGGCAACAGAAATAAAGTGGAATTATTAGGACACTGATTCTTAATTTTCTTGGAAGCAATCACAATGTTTTATGTAATACTAGTTCTCTCTCTCCACTTGTAAATAATCTCATTTTTCCTTCAGTTCCAGGTAAGACCTTGGCAATAATTGTTTTGAGAGGTACCAAACAAAATCTTAAGGAAGACTATTCACAAAGTTGTCAGAACTGGAAAAGTGACATATTTTATGGTCCAGAAAGTGATGAATGACCTCTCCATTATTTTAGGCAAGGTTTCCTCTGCCAAATATACATCTATTGTCCAAATTCTGATGTAGTATAGTATTTATAGAACACACATCACTTTGTTGTCAATTAAGTGTTCGATTTGGAAATTTTTGTAAGCATTGGGTAATGGAAAATTCAGTGTAACAGAAGTATCGTGTTAGAGTCCGGTGCATAATAAGATTTAGTTTCCTTAGTGTCCTTCCTTGCAACTCAACAGTCCCTGTTGCCTGGCCCCATCCATATTAGCTATACAGAGCTATATCCTACCTACCTTACTTTTAATCTTCCAATCTATTCCTTTCCTGTCCCATCCACTCCTCACCTCCTCTCCAAATCCAACCATCACAAGAAACTGTTAGGAAGTCCTGTCCCGTGTAAATAGAGCAAAGACTTTTTCCTGGAGTTCCCTAAAAGTATTATGGCTAAGAGTGGGGAGAGCAGACAGATGTTACAGGTGTGTAACGTGTTGAGCTGTGAGCCTCCCACTGACATCTCCTTTAAGGGATCTTTATTTATGCTTTCTCATCAGACCATCAGACCCTCATTTTCTGAGGGAATCGCTGTGTCCAGTCACATAGTATCCCAGTCAGCTAAGGACTTGGTTAGGGACATACCCGCTGTGTGGATTAACCATAGCTCATAGCTCAGCCTCCAGTTTTCGAGTTAGCTTCCTCCGGCTGCACTGGCTCTTTGTGACTCTGTGTGTGTGTGTGTGTGTGTGTGTGTGTGTGTGTGTGTGTGTGTTCGCACGCGAAGCCCTCTGGTCCTCAACTGTGGGAACCTTACCTAGGACTTTAAGCACAGATTCTTGTGCTTAGGTACCGTTGTCAGGCACACTGATTTGGTGTTGGATGGAGCCTGGGTGTTGTAGCTTTCAGAGTTGTGTAAGGGATGGTACTGTGGATCCCAGAGATGAAGACCACTGTCTTGGGAAATGAGCTCATCTGCTCTGCAGGAAAAGCGCTGAACCTCAAAACTGATTCACTGCGATTCGTGTTCGTGTTATCAACGTAAAAGGTGTGGATGCCACTGAATATGAAATGGGTGTTGAATTATGGACTACGAGAAATTCTGAAGGGAAGGAAGGGAGTCACTGAAAATTCGTGTGCGAAGCTCATTTTAAATTGGTTAGTTTAAATAGTGAGTGTGCACAGCCGCACACAGAGCTACATAAAGACAGGGTAAGTGGAGTTGTGCCAATGCCTCTAGTCCTTATTTGCGTGCAAGGAAATGGCTTTCTTCGGATGTTTATTCTTTTCTTTGATGATATTATTGAATAATATATTAGTTATATGTAATTATATATGGGTAGGTGACAGAAATATCGAGAGAGATAGAAAGGTAGGTTGGTGGATGGATGATAGATAGATAGATCCCTCAAAATCTATTGTGGCCAAGGACAGGGAAAAAAACAATAACAACAACAACAAAAACAAAAATAAACCCTTCAAGACATACAAAGACGAGCTTTGTTCACGAACAGTTACTCTGTGTTATGTGTACCGCCCAGTTCCAGACCAGAACAGAGGTCAAACTTCCTGCACTCACAGAGCTTGCATTTTGGTGCGGGAAAGCAGGAAACTGGCATAAGTCAATTGGTAATGGAATTTCGTGTGGTGGTAGATTTTTAAAAGCGCTGGCAGGATGAGCACATGGCTAGGGACAGGAATGACACATACAAGATGCTCGCAGCAGGTGGGTCTGGTGAAATGCCATTGCAGAGGTCAAAGCTTCCCAGGGTCCCCAGGACAGAGAAAATGGGGCCCGTCGCTCTCAGGAGAAAGACATTTATTTCCACACGCCGAACGGATGGCAGATGCCAGACCCCGGGATGAGCACACTGGGAGGAACTGTTGCAGTGGGTTGGGACAGAGAGCCAGCACTGAGCGGAGGGAGGGAGGCGGTTTTAGAGCCCCGGAGAGCAAGGGCCTTTGGTGCATTATAAACATGATGGTAAAGTCAATACTCAGCTCCGCACAACGCTCAGATATAATCAAGTGACCTTTAAAGATCTGACCCATTCATCCGGCTGCTGGAAATAATGTGTGTGCGCGTCTGCAGACTCGTGCTCACTTGTGCAGAGTGAGGAGCACAGGGGCCAGTTTGGACACAGGGAGCTTGAAGGACAAGAATGGGCAGGAGGGCGTGGTGGTCTAGGTCAGTGGGCTCCTGTGGTGACATTCATTGTGGAACTGGGCTTGGCTAATGAGGGTGAGGGAAGTTGAAGGTGGCCTCCAAGGTTTTGGCAAGCACAGCTGGGCCACCGGGGTGCCTTTGCCAAAGAGGGAGGATTCGGGTGAATTCGGGCGAGAACCAATGGTTCCATTTCACATGTGTCTGACAGTCACACCAAAGAAAGTAACCATCTGTGTGTGTCTTTGTTAGCCATCGGGGAGGGGGGATAGGGGGTGGGGTGAGGAGGTGGGGTGATTAAGGCAGGGAGTGGCTCCTGGTCAGACGGGGAGATTAGGGACAGGAAAGATGGCCTGTCAGTTGAGGGTGATGACCGCTCTTCCAGAGGTCCTGGATTTGATTCCTAGCACCCTCATGGCAGCTCACAATCATCTGTAACTCCAGTTCTAGGGGATTCAGCACCCTCTTCTGGTCTGTCTGTATACCAGGCATAAATCCAGGCAAGACACCCATATACATAAAACTATAATAACTTAATTTTTTTTTTAATGGGAGGTTATCTTGAAGTCTGCATGTAGCCCTGGTGTAATTGATAGGGTCTTTCAAAGTGGAACATAGGTAGAGAAGTCAGAATAATGTAGTTTAAGAAAGACACAACTAGCATTGGCTGGTAGCTTTGAATCTGGCTGTTCCATGAGCTTCCAAAAGCAGATAAAAGGAAAAGGCAAGGGAATGGATTCTCCCCAAACCCCAGAAAAGAATAAAGCTTGGCTAGACTGTAGATGTCATCCCAGAAGACCTTCCAATGTTCAGAATCTTCTTCAAAAAATTATTATTGTTT